TCCCATGAATGCTTTTGATTAAATATGATTGATATCCAGTGCATAGTTCTACAGAAGAAGTCGTTTATAGCAATCTAGCCAAATTGCCCCCTTTTTGGCCCCGCCCCTCAGCCCCCTGGGGGGTCAGCCCAACCATTTGTACAATTTTGAATCTCCACCACCTAGGGATGCTTCCAGGCAAATATGGTTGATATCCATCTCTTAGTTCCAGAGAAGAAGTCGCTTAAAGCAATATAGCCAAATTGCCCCCTTTTTGCCCCGCCCCTCAGCCCCCTGGGGGGTCAGCCCCACCATTTGTACAATTTTGATTCCCCACCACCTAAGGATGCTTCCAGTCAAATTTAGTAAAATTCCAATCAGTGGTTAAGAAGAAGAAGTCGTTTAAAGAAATTGTTGACGGACGGACGACGGACGCCACGGTATGGCATAAGCTCACCTTGGTCCTTTGGACCAGGTGAGCTAAAAATGACCAAGGGGAACCTACATATCAACTTCCTGAGAAAAAGCCCTAACAATTATACTGTCAAAATCCAAGAAGGCCAACTGTCGGCCATTTTGCTTATTCTATCGGTCTCAAAAGTAAGCATGCATAACTACAGATCAAGGGAAACCTACATATCAAATTTGAGAAAGATTCCTCTGAGAATTTCTGAGAAATAGCGCTAACAAACTAGAACACTTACAATTCAAGATGGCATCTTTTGGCTATCTTGGTTTTCCAAACATTCCCAAAATTTAAAATACATAACACGGGACCATGGGGCATGTGAAGTTGGAGACAGATCCCTCAGGTTCTTTCTGAGAAATAGCGCTAACAAACTAGAACGCTAACAGTTCAAGATGGCGTCTTTCAGCCCCCTTGGTTTTCCAATCATTCCCAAGATCTTTCTCTATTTCCCCTCTTTGGACTTGCTCCTGTCCCTAGAGAGGCTACACCCTCCGTTTATACAAACTTGAGGCCCCTTTTGTCTGAAGATGCTCTTGAATAAGTTTGGTTAAAATCCCTTCATTGGTAGAAAAGAAGGATTTTTAATTTTGGCTCTATTTCCCCTATTGGGCCTTACATGCATCCTTCTGCCAAAAAGAGGGGGCAAAGCCCTAGTTTATACAAATGGTGTATTTTTACCCAAAGCATGCTTTAGAACACATTTGGTTTAAATCCCTTCATTTGTACAGAAGGGGAAAGAGTTTTCTCTATTTCCCTTATTTGGCCCTGTCCCTCTGCCCCCAGGGGGTCACATCCTCTGTTGCCCAAAGATGCTGCAGACTAAGTGTGGTTAAAATCCTTTCATTGGTACAAAAGGAAAAGGCCCTTTAATTGTTTCCTTTATTTCCCCTAATGGGCCCCAGCCTTCTGTCCAAAAGAAAGGGCCAACACACCTCAGTTTATGCAAAACTGTTCCCCCAAGCATGCTTCAAACCACATCTTGTTAAAATCCCTTCATTTGTACAGAAGGAGAAAAACAAATCCCCTATAAGGCCCCACTCCTACCCTTTATACAAACTTGAGGCCTCTTTGTACAAAGATACTCTAAAACAAATTTGGTCAAAATCTTTCAATTGGTAGAGAATTTTTTTTTTTTATATAAGATTTACCTATTTTCCCCCTATTTGGCCCTGTCCCTCTGCCCCCAGGTAGCCATACCCTCAGTTTATACAAATTGAGAACCCTTTGGTCAATGATGCTCAAGACCAAATCCTCCGAGCCTTTAAGGAAGACAGACGCTGCGCCACGACATAACCTCACTTTGTCCTAAACTGTCAAAATCCAAGATGGCCCTCTGTTGGCAATTTTTGTTTATCCCAGCAGTCTCAAAATTAAACATGCACAACGAAAGATCAAGGGAAACTTACATATTAATTTGAGAAAGATCTCTAAAATTACTTTCTGGGAATTAGCGATAACTAGAGCTGTTACCGAGAGGGGTTGACAAGTATACACCCCCCCATACACATAAATTGTACAAGAGGCCCAGAGGGCCTGTATCGCTCATCTGAATATTACACTACAAATATTTCCCTTGCAAACTTTGTCGGCGCCATCTGTTGAAACTACCAGCCAAATATTATTATATGATTCTATGCTTTTTGGTTCTTCTTCAGAAGTTAATTGAAAGTAAGTCAAGGTCAATTTCATTCTCAAACTTTATTGGGCTCCATCCAAGGAAGCCACCAGTGAAATATGAAGATTCTATACCTTTTAATTCTTCAGAAGAATCGTTTGAAGCGTTTGACATATTTGACCGCTGTGACCTTGAAAATATGTCAAGGTCATTTTCATAATATGTTGGGCTCCATCCCAGGAAGCCATCAGCCAAATATGAAGATTGTATACCTTTTAGTTTTTCAGAAGAAGTTGTTTGAAATGTTCGACATATTTGACCGCTGTGACCTTGAAGGTATGTCAAGGTCATTTTCATTCTAAAACTTTGTCTGGCTCTATCTCAGGAAGCCAACAGTCAAATATAAAGATTCTATACCTTTGAGTTCTTCAGAAGAAGTTGTTTGAAGTGTTTGACATATTAGCCCCATGTGACCATGAAAGTAGGTTGAGGTCATTTCTATTCACAAACTTTGCCGGGCTCCATCCCAGGAAGTTACCAGCCAAACATTATAATTCTATGCTTTAAGATTATTCAGAAGAAGTCATTCAAAATGTTTGACACATTTGACTCATGTGACTGTGAAAGTAGGTAGAGGTCATTTTCATTCTCAAACTTTGTCGGGGTCTTACCAAGGAAGATTTCTGCCAAATATCATGACTCTAGGCCTGTCCATTCTTCATCAGAACTCGTTTAAATGAAAAGCAGTCGGATGACGGACGCCGTGCCATGACATAAGCTCACTTGCCCTAAAAATTGAGCAAATGTATAGCTGGACAAAGTTTTTGTCAATTTTTTTATGTTAATGGGCATAACTCTCTTAAAAAGGTCCAAAAAGCAAAATTATTTCAGGGGGCACACATTCATATGGTACTCTCACTACACAAACAAAAGATCCCAGAGGGATCTTGGCACCCACCATTGTACCATCTTCATTAGTCCTATATTAGTTTGATCTTTTTTCTCCCTTTCTCTTACCTGTTTGACTGAATGGATAGATCTAAAGTAAATGTACCTTGAGGTAATTTTTGATCTAAACTTCATTCTGCTTTATATAAAAGACAACCTTTAATGTGAGTTTGTCGTTTCACATAGTTACTAGTACAGTACTAATGTGAAAGAAATAGAAGTGATCATTGCAATATGAAAAAGATCCGTTTAGTTCTTCCTGCTTCCATCTTGTTTTTATAATAAACAGGCACAACTAAGGACCAAGGGAACCTTTGGACCAGGTGAGCTAATAAACAGGCACAACTAAGGACCAAGGGAATTTTTGAACCAAGTGAGCTAATAGACAGGCACAACTAAGGACCAAGGGAACCTTTGGACCAGGTGAGTTAATACACAGGCACAACTAAGGACCAAGGGAACCTTTGGACCAGGTGAGTTAATACACAGGCACAACTAAGGACCAAGGGAACCTTTGGACCAGGTGAGTTAATACACAGGCACAACTAAGGACCAAGGGAACCTTTGGACCAGGTGAGTTAATACACAGGCACAACTAAGGACCAAGGGAACCTTTGGACCAGGTGAGTTAATACACAGGCACAACTAAGGACCAAGGGAACCTTTGGACCAGGTGAGTTAATACACAGGCACAACTAAGGACCAAGGGAACCTTTGGACCAGGTGAGTTAATACACAGGCACAACTAAGGACCAAGGGAACCTTTGGACCAGGTGAGTTAATACACAGGCACAACTAAGGACCAAGGGAACTTTTGGACCAGGTGAGCTAAAAAGGAGCATCATGATATTCAACAATTATGTTTGATAATCTGAGAGTGCAAGGACAGAATACAAGGATGGCTGCATATCAATAACAAATAGTATAATAATATACAACATTTATATTGCTCCCTATATAATTTGTAAAATTACTCTAAGGCGCTTTACAACATATGGATAATAGTAATGGTTATAATTGTGAAAACAAACAACAATGGCTTGCAATCACTTTCATACTTTTAACAAGCAATGTGCACATAATTGAACAAATAAAAGGGTGGTATTTACATGACGTCTTTGCAAAGATTCTAAAATGCAGACGTGAAGAGGTGAGTTTTTATGTCCCTCTTGAAATTGGCCAGGGTATTTGACTTCCTAATAGCAGATGGTAAGCTATTCCACAACGTAGCTGAAACCCTCCCAACGCATCTGTTTCCGTAGGTCAGACTTTCTGAGATTGTATTCCAACTGTACTGTGGTTTTATGACCATGTAAATTTGTGTGTCATCGGCATAGCAATGATAGTGAAGGCTATGGCGACGACAGATCTCTCCAATCGGTTTGGAGTATATACAATATTTTCGTGGTCCTAACAACGACCCTTGAGGAATCCTGAAATCTAGTACTTTGTCATGTGAGGTGGCAGATCCGATGGCAACACACTGTCGTCGTTCACTCAGGTATGACTGTATCCAGCATAGTGCGGTATCAGTCACTCCATAAGAGTATTCCAGACGTTTATAAAGTATGCCATGGTCGATGACATCAAATGCAGCTGACAAGTCCAGCATGACAAGCACCGCTCTGCACTTGTTATCCAATGCAGAAGCTATATCACTATGTACATGTATTCTGTAATAGATCACCATGTTGATTGTTAACTTAGTTTTTGTTTTGCATAGCGATTAAGTGTTCTTTAGAATTTGTTATGCTTGCTATCAAGTGATAAGACGACTATTTAATTTCCTTGTGATGACATTGATATAGCAGAACAAACTTTTTTGGCTGATAAAATTCTAACTAATCATCTAGCCTCAAACAACAGAATTCTTTATTGGATTTGAAATGTTTTCAATTTTCTTTTACGTTTTGCATTGGGACATTTCTGGAGAGCCAATTTCTTCATCAGGGCCTGCCTTTTGTTTTACCATGGAGTCAGATTGCAGCGTGGTTGGCAGCCACATTACCTTTGTGGATCTTTCTGGGTTGTGCTTTACCAGGCAAGTGGGCCTACTAACCATTTACATACACTTGATTATCTAAGCAATTATGGCAAAATATTCTTAATTATATTAATTTGAGCTGTCTCTCACCATCCAGGGAGAAAATAGGAATACGTTGTACGTCTTACACCTTAACATTTTAATGGCCCTTTTTTGTGCCCTCCCCTCTCCCCTCACCCAAAGGGTAACTATAGTCTACAAACAATGGATTCCTAGGTCAAAGGGACCAAAGATGCTTCATAAGAAGTATGGTTTAGAATTAATCCTGATTGTGTTGGGATCTTCATGCCCAGCTAGCAGATATTTGGTTGTAAGGTGTTATTTCCATGATGTTCAGGCCCTGGACCTAAATCACCGAGGGCATGGCTAGACCCCAGAGCTGATTCTGGTAGCTTGATTTTGTCTATCACTTCATGCTATATTGTTAAAGGGTGGGGATATTTTTTTTTTTTAAGTTGGACTCAATGACTAAAGTCTCCAGGGGAAGGGATGGACTCCAAAGTCAATAATTGTTGCATAAATACAAAGTCTCTTCAAATCAGGAAATATATTGTTTGTATGATTTAAGGGTGGGGCTCCAACTGTTTTCAGGTTAAGACCTAAGAACTTAGTCCCAGGGGCTGGCAGGCACCCTTGGCAATTCCTTTTCTTCATGCCCCGCAATGGTGTATATGGTTATAGAGCGGAGATCTTGACCAACTCCATGCCATTATCCAAGAACCAAGTTTCGGGGGACAGGGCTAGACATCAGGGCCAATCCTAGAAGCATCTTTACATGACAAGCAATTGTTACATGGTTTCCGTATTATGACAAAGAGAAAAGTCCCCATGGATAGGGACAGACTTATGGAAGGGGCAATCTAGAAAACATGGATGTATTTGTCACACAATGTCTTATATGATTATATATACTTTTCAAGTGGGGGTTTTTCGGCCTCAGCCCAAACTTAAAACCACATGGATGTGTCAATTTTTAAGCTAAAGTACCTTGACAAATGGTCCATATCATAAAGCAGCCACAAGAGTTCCTGTAAAACAAAGAATACAAACTTATAAAAAGATCAACAGAAACTTAACATTTTGTACGACAACTCATTTACAATATGACATTAAGACTTGAACAAAATTTGAATTAATATACATGTACTCCATTCATTCAAATAACTTTGTCTTTTTTTATTGCCATTTCCCAATTTAAAGTCTTTACTTACTTTTGTAATTATGCTCATTGCTAAGGTATTTTACACATAGGCACCTTAATCAAGCAAAACTTAACCAATTATATACTTTTAGTTCAAAGCATCTCGGCTGTTTTGTCAATATACTTGAATTTCCAACTATCCTGATTCGGGACCCTTGCATTTTTAAAATAATTCCAACCGGTGGATTTGGTTAAACATTCCTATAATTTAAGACCTAAAGATTTCATCTGAATGCTAAAAATATCAATTTTGAAGGGTTATTTTCCTTAGCCCTGGGTATATACACAAATATTATCTATGTTTTTAATTTTGAGTACACTGAATCTACCCATGGCCCTTTGTTTATTTTTCATATTGAAGTTTGTCCACGACATAACTTCTAAACGGTTAAAAATATCTTAATCAAAATTAAAGTATACCTGCATCTTAATCAAAATTAATGTATACCTGCATCACCCTAAGAAGGTGTGCAGTGCACTGAAATGAGGTCTCATGCCCCATTATATACAAAGTTATAGCCATTTGTTTATTTTAAATACCGAAGTTTGTCGGAAGCATAAGTTCCATGTTATGTCAACTAGGTTGACCAAACTTACCATATTTATGTACCTAAGGAAGGCCGAATCTCTCGCACTAAAATCGGGGGTCTTGTGCCCCTTTATATATACAGTTATGGCCCTTTGTTTTTTTTAAATATCGAAGTTTGTCGGAAGCATAACTTCCATGTTATTTCACCTACGTTGACCGAACTTGCTATAGTTATGTATCTTGGGAAGAAGGAGTGTCACATTCTTAATTTAGGTCTCTTGCCCAACTATATAAAGAGATATGGCCCTTTGTTTATTTTGTATACCTAAGTTTGCTTATTGGCTAATGAGGGTAGACATATGTTTTGTTCACAAAACAAGTTTCTAGTTTACATCATACACTTTTTACATTGATTATCGTTAAAAAGGGAATATTTCGTGTTTTGAGTTGTTATTATTTCTAGGCAAATTGATTTTACTGTACGACTAGAGTGGTATGTGATGGTAACATGATCGTAATTGACATAGTGCGGCAAAATATTATTACACTTATGGGACAAAATGTAATGCAATTTTTCAGTGAGAAATAGGTTAATCATGACTTTTTATATCACTTCTTTCATCTTATTGACCGATGCATTTCCATATCATTAGTTAGAATGTAGTATAACAATAGTTCTCAGGAATATGCTCCAAGTTAAAGTAGAATTTACATACTGATAATTACGACAGCAAAATTGATTTTTGTTCCAATTTTTCTAACACGCTGATATTTATAACAGTTAACAAATTATTTCAATTACAACATTACTAATTTGTATTAATATCTTCCCATGTTTCTACATTTATCTATGTCTGATGTTTATAGGGCATCTCACTTTTGGTTCAGACAAACTAAAAGGAATGAAAACAGCTTGATCGTTTATTTTAATATATCGATTATCATAATATTTTTTTCTGGCATATATAGAAGAATATCATAATGAGCGGGTTTCACTGTATTGGGCAGCCAGCCATGTGTGAAAAAGACACTGTTAGGGCGCGATGTTGTTTACAGAACAGGTACGGGTGTGACACTTTATCCAGGGAGCATAAATAATGGATTCCTTCCATCATTTACCTATTTTGTTTTTGTGACAGTGGCCAAAATAAATTGACATTAAGCTAAATCCACATCAAAACAAGTGATAATAAAAGAATTTAATCACATAGATAACATAGCAGGAAAAATGTCAAAAATACATAACTGAAAAGTAACTTGATATTAAGTGAAGACTGTTTTATAGATAATATTTGATCCTTTTATCTTTGGTACTCAAGGGGTTACACTCACTTCGGCTCTCTGCACCCCTGGAATATGTCATAGCAATATTGTAGGCTCAGTGTGCCCCACCTTGTGGAAGAGGCAAGAAGACGAAATTGATCCTTTGATTCTTTGTACATCAAATCAAAGGCACAATGTACATGTGGGCCACCGCGTGGAAGCTAACAAAAAGACAAGTTTGATCCTTTGATTCTTTGTAGAAAATAAAGAATCTTGGAGTTGTGTTATTAATAATTACTGGCTATGAAGTCGGGAGTCGCTCCTTTGTAATCTCCAAAGGACATGTAAATAGCCAAGCTATTGGTCAGGTTTATTTTACCGAAGACCATTCAAATAGCTAGCTGTGTCCTTTCAATTTTGCTATGACATACCCATGACATTTCTATTATTCATTAATGACAGTCAGATTTCGCTCTTAGACAAAATGTAAATACTGACATTATATATTAGTCATTTTTTTTTTTTTTTTACCTATGACCTTTCAAATAGCTAGCCGCATCCTTCAATTTTGCTATGACATACCGAAAACATTACTACTGTTCATTAATGACTGGCAGATTTTGCTCTTAGACAAAATGTAAATATTGACAATATGAATGGATTGTATAATGTACATGCATACCAAATTTCATAAAAAATTAACAATATTTCAGCAAGTTACGGAAATCAAAATCTCAATATTCTGACAGGTGTTAAAATAGCAATCAATACCTTTTGACATTTTACTTGAATTTTAAGTTCTTGCCAATTATCTTAACCGCTATTCTCTTCTTTTAAGTTCTTGCCAATTATCTTAACCGCTATTCTCTTCTTTATCTTTTGTTACTGCCCATTATTTTGTAGGGTTATGTCCCCTATATATTATGGTTGCCTACCTGTTGAAGAGAGCCCATTTCTAGGCTGTCAACAGTGGCACTGATGGAAGGGTTGATGCCACTGACAATGGATGCTACCTCCATCTGCCGGGTACAGAGGACAGGCTGATCGTTGAGATAGAGCCAGCTCTTCTCCGAGACACCCATTGTGATTGGTTGCCCTCGTTTGTCTTCATTACCTTTACCTATTGTTCAGAAGGAGGCCATGTTAAAAAGTAAGCTAATTCTTCCTTATATTTATTTCCTAACCAACTAAGTTAAATGGTCAGGAAACAATTCCTTACTACAAGACAAAAATACTTAATGAGTCATACTTATTTCAGCACAAATACATAATTTCTTGATGTTTGCAAATCAAAGTACTGAACGTACTGAGACGCAAAAACTTAACAGCAATAATACATCTCAAGGGGATCTTGGCACCCACTTTAATACCATCTTCATTGATTCTATGTAAAATTGATGTTTTTACTTATCATCTCTCAATATTTTGAATTAAGTCAGGTACAGTATAAATTGACAGAAGGGTTGTGGGTTCGAGTCATGTCACAGCTCTGTGTTGTATCTTTTAACAAGATATTTTACTCCATGTGATCCATTATACTCAGCTGTTAATGAGTACGTGGTTGGGCAGTGCTGGAATTGTTGAATGTTAGCTGCGATTGCCAAAATGGCAGCACCGGCTGTATGCTCCCATGGGAGTTGAAAAAGATATTTGCTGGTTGCAAAGGCCCTATAACCACAGATAATAATTTGTGAACCGCTTTGAGACGACCTACGAACTAGTTTGTGATAACAGGGTATGCAAGAACCTTGAATTATTTTAACTGGTGTAATTGATCATGAAAAAGTGTTTGATATATTAATGATTAAGTTGTAATGTTAATTCAAATATATATATAATAATTGCAACCGTTTTAGAGAATCTGTATTTTATGTGATAAATTGTATCTCTTGTACATATATCACAGATCTGTTTTATTGTTCTTATATCTTGTATTTTTGTCATTGTAGGGTCTTCTTTGCACTAAAATCAATAACTAGCATGAGGTCCAATCGGCCTGCATCACTAACCTGGAATTAATCTCAAACTTGTTATCATAAAAGTGGACTAAAATACAGATACAGACAGAAAAACAGTGTTTGATTCAAAAGAACCTAATAAAAGATTTAAGCATATGACCTGCGACCTTGAAATGAACAGACGTGATAGCCTTTCATCCCATCATGCTTCTGGCCAAATATCATTACTCTGCACCTTTCTGTTATTCAGAAGAAGATGTTTAAAAATTAAAACATATTTGATCCCTGTGACCTTGAATATGGACGAAGGTCATTTATTTGAACAAACTTGGTAGCCCTTCATCCCAGCATATTACTGGCCAAATATAAACATAAGAATTTGTTTGAAGTAAAAAGTTGATGTTGGACAGACGCCGGACAGTTTGACAGACAAATGGACAATCGGAGGACACCACACCATGGTATAAGCTCACTCGCTCCTTCTGGCCAGGTGAGCTAATGAAAAACTATCAATACAATAATGTAACGTCTCTTTTTGGGGCAAGTGTAAATTGTACATGCTTACCCAGTTTCATTTAAAATCAGGTGATATTTAAGCAAATTATCTTGCAGTCAGAGCACAGTAGGCTAAATAATTGCTTAGAAATTCACCTCATTATTTTTGGAATGTACATGCATACCATGCTTCATCAAAACTGCCCAATATTTAAGCAAGTTATCTTGTGGAAATCAGTAAACAATGCCAGATTGACAGACAGACTGACAGACAAACAGATGCTCCCCATAAAGTTACATTTCCTGTCAAAATCTCTTTTTGATTGATAGCAATCCCTTGCCTATGTACCTACCATGCCATGTGACCTCTGCAGTTTCCAACAAGTCTTGACCAAATGTGACCCAAGCATGGTCCTCGGACAGGGCGAGGTGGACATCTTTGTAGCCAAGGACTTGGAAAGCAGCCACCACGCCAAACGCCACACCAAAACAGTCAAGTTTATTACCTGAGAAAGGGGACAGTAGTAGTGCTTCAGAGAAAAATACTTAAGAAAATACAAATAATTTCCAACCAGAAGCCCAAGGCGCCTATATTTCTCACCTGTTATCGATCTCATACTTGTAACTGTAAAAGTAGACCAAGGTCATATATATTCAAATGGATTAAATAAAGCTACAGGCCAAATATCATCACCTACATTGGATCATTAAACTCATGGTCATTCTGTTAAAAGATTTTAACAAAACGTCCCCCGACAATGAGATCCCAGAGGGATCTTGCATTGTGCATATATCCACCATTGTACCATCTTCATTGCTTCTAGGTCAGTTTGATCCTCCTCCCTTCATTTCTGTTACCTACACATATGATTGAGTCATATAAACAGTAAATGCACCTTGAGGTAACTTTTGATCTAAACTTCATACTGCTGTGTATTAAAGAAAACCACCAAAAGGAGTTTGTTGTTCACATATTTACTAGTACCGTACTTCATGTGAAAGAACTAGATAAGATAATTGGTTGATAGGGCCACAATGGAGCCAAAAGTGACAGATGGTGACCTGTCTTGGGATGAGTTGAGAGTGTCTCAGAACTGCTCCGTCTGTCAGGGCCAGGTTCTTCAGTAAACTGGAGAAGCCCCATCCTCGATATCCAGGGGTTTATCACTTTCGCTCTCTACATCCCTGGAATATGTCATAGCAACATTGAAGGCTCAGTGTGCAACACCTTGTGGATGAGAGGAGAAGTTTGGTCCTTTGATGTACATCAAAAGGATCTCACAGTCGTGTAAGGTAAAAATTGACAGGCTTTGAAGTCAATCATCGCTCCTTTGTCTTCAAAGGACAAGTATCAGACTAGTAGTGATTGGTCAGGTTTTTTTTTACCTGACACCAATCAAATAGCTAGCCGTGTGCCTTCATTTTTGCTATGATATATTCCAGGGGTGTAGAGAGCAAAAGTGAACGTAACCCCTGGATATCGAGGATGGAGCAACCCATGATACAATGCAAGGAATTGTATTCATTTATGGTTGTATCAAAGGGAAAATATTGATGAGTGTTCTTACAACGAAATTAGCACCCGGGCTCACTAGAGACATTTATAGAACGCTCTGAAGTCATCAATCAGCATCTCCAGTTTTTGCGAATGTCGGAGCCCAAATCGGATCAAGTCTTGATTTTGCAGTATCTTACGCTTCAAATGAATATTTTTTGTCAGCATATTATCATTTTATGACATTTTATGATGACCTTTAGAGTTTATATGACAAAAAGGATTTCTATAGTGAGAATTTATTTTGACATGAGATGCTTCAATACAGAAATGTATGAGTTAAAATAAACATGGCTATATTAGTTATGTAAACAGAGGCTATTTTTGCAAAGTTTGTGAACATTACTCAGGTTACAAAAAAATCAAATTCGTTATTAGGACTGGCTTGCATTTTGGGTGACCATCCTTCACAAAAATACTCCCCAGTGATCAAGTTCATAGTACCCATGTCATTTTTTTCTGGTCTTTTTATTCTAAGAAATAACAGCTAATACACATACATAATATAAACAATCATCAAGACAGTCCATTTATGCATTTTTCCCTTATGAGGGGGGAAAAATCCCCCCCCCCCTTTTTTTTTTTACAGAAAGGGCACTTTCCCCCAAAACCTTATTTAATACATGGAGTTATGTCCCTTTGATGTACTTGTAATTGAATTAGTTAGATGCCAATCATTCGTTAATTAATAGATATTAGTTAGGTTTAATAGTTTTATAATTGTTTAATAGTTTTATAATTGTAAGTGTTTGCACATTTTATGTAATGAAGTGTTAGGGTAGTGATCATAAGACTTTATGTACAAGTTGGAATTTTGGAAAGTTAGGCGGCTGTATGGTGGTCTGTGAGCTTGGACTTTGGCAACCAGGTCATGTGTTGCAAGCACCGCTACTTTTTGTAGTGTGTGGACCGGCCGGTCCACTTTTGTACTGGGTGAAGCTGAGACGAGAGACCGCCATACCCTGCAGAGGGCTGCCACCAACTTTGTTGGGCTCTTACCAATGAAGCCATCACCAAGATATCATGACTCTAGGCCTGTCAATTCTTTAGAAGTCGTTCAAAGGAAAAGTTGAAAAATGCCAACAGATGGACGACAGACGCCGCACAATGCCATAAGCCCTTCGGGCAAGTGAGCTAAAAATCAATCAGGTCGCCGTCACCAGGAATATCTTTATTTCAAACTGGGCCATCCCGTGAATGGGGGGGGNAGGAATGTCAATGTTCTGTGTTACGTAATAAATATTATGGTCCGAATCCCTGAAAGTCATTATATATAAACTGTGGATATCGCATAGTCGGCCAATGAAATTAAGGTATAACCTAATATGTCATCAATTCTAAGTAAAGCTAGGGGTAATTTTCTCACCACAGTTCCATTCTGAAAACAGTAGTACCCGAATCGACAGTGGGAGGTAGGTATCCCCTCAAGCGTTAGCAATCTGGTAACACTAATTATCACAAGCATGGGTAGGTCTAGCTGCGATAACATAGCTTCTGATAAGGAGATGATTTTTTATAGACTGTGTCGTCAGCCAGGGCAAAGGAGGCCGGGTATTAATATTAGTACTAGGGTAGGTTGTGACACAGGCCATGGACTAAAACCATATATAAGTATACAGGGTTGCCAACTCTCACGACATGAGACAAAATCTCACACATTCGTCACGCTGAGACGACCTTACTCACGCATAATCATGTCTCATGCCACGTGAGCCATAAATCTCACGCATTCGAAAATATTCTATCTCTATCCCATGCAAAGCCATAAATCGACATTTTTTTAGCTTGGGTAGTACAAAGGGGAAAAACTCTTATTGCAACGTTGTGCTTTGGAAGGGAGCTAATGTGAGGTGTCGCTTTACATCCGGTGGAAACGAATGTAAATATATCGTAAGGTGAGTTGTTTTCACAATCGTCTTGCTGGATAACCGAACTACTCGGTAGTGAAGTTGACGTAAAACCTATCAATCAATCAAGTTGTTTTCACTTATAAACCTATCGCACAGTAAAAGAAAGTTTTACTAATAATATCGTCGTGTATTAGGAAAGATTGTTTTTAAGTTGGGCCTTCACAAATATTAAGAGAAAACGATTCTTGAATCACTAACAGACAGTCGCTAATGGCTGATGAAAAGTTTGAAGTTATTTTTTGCAGTAAAGTGGCGTATATGATTTAACACACCAGAGACTTTTAGTAATAAACAATTTTAATCTGATGCGATGAAAAAATAACGAGTTTCGGGAAGTGCTTTGGCATGTTGAATAGACATGGTACGTAGGTAGTACAATACATAATCATGCAACAAATTTGATTGCAAACGTGGTATAAATGCTAAGGGTCTAACTGTTATTTGTCGCTTAGGATAGTAGCCAGAAGTAATTGTAAAGTATTTTTCCACTGTCAAATTATCATATTTTTTTTATCTTTCATGTTGTGAACTATTTCATGTTACTATGGTAAATTTCTTACTTTTGATATGAACTGTTATTTTTTTAACAGGTCATGGAAATACAGGGAAAAAAGACTGGTATCCGTTCTAGCCAAGGATTGAATCGTTACAAGAAAGGCCTTTGATTATATAATGTGTTGCATTTCTAATGTCAGTTTTTTTGTGTGATAAATAAAAATCTTTTATATATCTGCAAAAAATGTTGTTTTATTTTCCTACAAGTACAAAGATCTTGAAGTGAAAATATCAACAACAATGCAGATGTTATAGTAGTAAGAGAAAGCCAGAATCTGTTCGATACACTTGTAAATGTTATCTTAACACCCAAAACGACGCCGTCAAAAGTCTCACACATTGTAAAATCCAGTGGGGGGAGATCTCCCACACTGGACTCCTAAGAGGTTGGCAACCCTGAGTATATGCATATTTACAGGACTTTTAAATGAAACAGGAGTGAAATGTATCTTGTAAGTGAACATTTTATATATGTCCAGACACGACTTGATTAAGTCAGAAACATTTTGTGCATGTCACAAAACCTCTTCATGACTCCCAAAATGACTTGCTTCTGAAACATCTAGCATTGGGATATCTGATACCTATATTTATATACCATTCTTGTTTGTAAACAAGCTAACAATTTTGAATCTCACCAAAAACACAATTACAAGAGACACAAAAAATACTGTGTCGTCCATGCATCATGGTAGCTTGTTTTCAAATCTCTGATGAACACAAAATAAACCCTGTCATAATGATATTAAAGATATCAGAGAAAAACAAATTTGGAACATGCACTCTTCATTTTTACCTTGTATCAAATAAATCAACATACTTTTAATTTAAATTCAATAAAGCTGCTAATGCTCTGTCAATGGTTAACGCGCATGCCATTACGTTGGTTCATCAACATCTACTTATCATACCGTTATTAGTAAGAAATCGATAACCCAAGGCTACTTTAGTGCGTCAATATGGCCGCTTGGCTTGGAAGCTGGGCGCCCAACGCACGCGCTAACATCGGTTTCATTTTAACGCATAACGCCGTCAATCCAGATTGACAACTGTTGGTGGTTGTTTATATTGATCGACTAATAACAATTTATTAGAAATAAACATGGAAGACTGATATCAAAATACGCATGAAAATATAGCATGACGATACATTTGTTCTATTAAGGCGCAATTCAAAACTGCCCGCAACTTACCCGTCAAAAAACTGTACAGCGACTGAAGGTGTGCTTTGTCTTTGTAAAAGCTTCGCATTAAAGAACTCCATATAACATCCGAGACTAGTTTCACTAACTCTCTTGTGGCAACTTCACCACAAAATTTAGTGAGATCAATAGATCGTTTCACATGAGTCACAAATTTTTCGTACAGAGCTTCCACTGTCTCCAACTCAATCACCGGGAAAATTGGTTCCAGAGTTTTTGAGTGATCAATCTCACCTGGCAACGACCTATTCACTGTCAAAACATTTTCTATAGCTCCAAGAACGATAGATAAAAGTGGCAAATTAGGTTCATCACTGCCTGTCAATTGATCTCTGAATAAATCAACCACATCTTGGATACTTTGAAGGGGGAAATGTTGTTTTTCATTCTCTCGGAACCCCGCCATCTTGCGTTTCAGTTGCAATCATAGAAATTAGCCTCTAAATCGAACAATTTTCTCTTATTTTAATAAAAGAATTGGTTGTGGCATAAGTCGTTACTACTTCTAGTAAAAATATCAAAAACCAATGTTAACTATATAAGAACATATGAGTGACAATGTCGTAAATATGAAAAATAAGGAAAAGTTTTAGCAGAGTCATCGAGATTATTCCAAAACGCAACATGGCGGACAGTGGAACCGTCGTTAGTTCAGAAGTGGAAAATAATAAGGCTGACGATCAAGTGGCTGATCAGAATGGACAGGTATCAAGTTTCAAACAGACCGTGATGTCTATTGAATATTTTGCCGAATTAATATTGCTGTAATCAAAGAATACAAAACATGTGACACGTGTTCAGCAATCGGGGATAGCAAACACGGTTGCTGAACACACTCATAGATGAAATGCGTCATTTACAAGATACGTAGACTACAGTTCAGTCAGTACTGTAGAGTGAAACTGGCGACTATTTCGATGAATATCAGTTATATTGATTACCTCATAGCTTTTCACCAGACTAGGCACAACAACTATCTCGAATTCAAGACTGGTTGTTTCGGTACTCGGTGATTTCGGTACTTGGTCGGCGGGTAGGGAGAGTTCTGAATTATAAATTTAAAATGTACTGTACAGTAAGGTGACAGTATCCTAATCGGATCACCAAACCATCATTTTATTAAATCATTGAAAAACCTGAGGAGGAATTATATTCATTTATGATTGTATCAAAAGAAGGATATCTTTTTCTTCTTCCAATAAAGTACAGTCCACCATCTGGTGTATTGACGTATTTGCATGTGCGCAGTGAGTAGAACCGCGAGTGGTGCAGATAAAAACAACTATATATACAGTGCAGTTAAAAGGGAACCTGTCTATCGAAGCTGTTCCGGGGAGCCGCACGCTATGGTGTTAGCTGGTAGACTGTTCCACAGCCTGATCATGTCAGGAAAGAAGGAGCGTTGGTATTGTTGTGTCCGTGCATATGGCACCAGGAACTTCATTTATGACCCCGCCTCGCTTCTGCCACTGGGGTGAGGTGTGTAGCGGGTATATCCACTTGTTGGTGTACAATGCGGTACATCATGATGATCCTTACCTTAGTCTGTGCCCTACGCTCCTGAAGGGTTGGCCACTGGAGTTGTTACAGCATGGACGACACACTGCTGGTAGTGTGGTAGTCACCGGTGACAGATCTGGCTGACCTACGCTGCACCATCTCAAGTTTGTTGGCTGTGTAGGGATCCCAAATTACAAGGGCATACTCCATGATTGGTCTTACAAGTGTCTTATAGCACAGTTCCTTGGTGTTTCCTGGACACTGGTAGATGTTACGTTGTAAGAAAGCTCTGGTGTTGTTAGCTTTCTTAGCGACCTGATTCATATGGTCATTCCAGCTTAAGCTGCTGTGGATGTTCACTCCGAGGTATTTTGCTGACCCTACCACCTCTAGGATGTGACCATGGATGGTGTATGGAGATTTTATCGGCGATCTCTTAGTTGTTATGTGGAGAATCTAACACTTCTGGGGGTGGAACCCCATGAGCCAGTCTTGCTCCCAAACATGTAAAGTGTCGAGGTCTGCTTGCTGTTTACGACTATTCTCCAATTTCTTGATCTCTCTGTACAGCTAACAGTCGTCGGCAAAGAGCCGCGCGGTGGAACCATTGGTGATGTACTCTGGAAGGTCATTAATGAATAGCAGGAATAGGATCGGCCCAAGCACGCTACCCTGAGGCACACCAGAGAGTACAGGAGCACTCTTGGACTTGCAGCCATCGAGTACTACTTGTTATGAGCGTCCACTTAGGAAGTCTCCTATCCACCTGTGCATGTTTTCCCTCACTCTGTAGTGTTGAAGCTTGTGTAGCAGTCTGGCATGTGGGACCTTGTCAAACGCTTTGGAGAAGTCCAAGAGAATGATGTCTGTTTGCCCCTTGGTGTCAACACATTTGGCTAAGTCCTGAATGGTTAAGATCAGACGTGTTTCGCATGAGCTCTGCTTCCTGAAGCCCTGTTGTGCGTCCGTGAGGATTTTGTGATGGTCCAGATGTTTTGTCAAACTGCTACAAATGACGTGCTCCATCAGCTTACAGATGACAGGTGTAAGGGAGACAGGTCTGTAGTTTTCCGGTAGGTTCTTCGCTTCCTTCTTAAAGATGGGTGTGACATCTGCCTTCTTCCACTCTGATGGTATTTTGCCTTGTTGTAGGGACACCTGGAACAGCAGTGTTAGGGCAGGGGCTATCTCTGTGGACAGTTCCTTCAGCAGTCTTGTTGGTACTTGAACGGGTCCTGATGCTTTGTGGATGTTCAGACCTAGCAATAGCTTCCTAACACCTTCTGAGGTAACATGGATGGGTGGTAGATCTGGGTGTCTGGGCTCGCCCATGCCCTTGATGTTGTCGGACCTCTCACTGGCGTTGAAGACAGAAGAGAACTGGGCATTAAGGATGTTGACCTTGGCTTTTTTTGTCCGAGTATGTGATTCCGTCGGAGGATTTCAGTGGGGCCACACCTGAACTGTCCCTTTTCTTGCAGTTGATGAAGCTCCAGAAGCGTCAATGAGTGTACATGTTCTTACAATCGAAATTAGCACCCGGGGCTCACTTGAGATATTTATAGAACGCTCTGAAGTCACAAATCAGCGTCTCAAGTTTTTGCGAATGTCGGGACCCAAATTGGATCAAGGCCTGAATTTTGCAGTATCTTACACTTCAAATTAATATTTTTTTGTCAGCATATTAACATTTTATGACCTTTAGAATTTATATGACAAAAAGTTGTATTTCTATAGTGTGAATTTATTCCTATAAATTCACGCACCATTTTTAGCTCACCTGGCACGAAGTGCCAAGTGAGCTTATGCCGTGGTGCGGCGTCCGTCGTCCGTCCGTCCCGTCGTCCGTCCGTCGTCCGGCGTCAATATTTTACTTTAAACGACTTCTTCTTAATAACAGAAAGGCCTAGGGTGATGATATTTGGCCAGAAGCAAACTGGGATGAAGGGCTACCAAGTTTGTTCAAATAAATGACCTTCATCTATTTTCAAGGTCACAGGGGTCAAATATGTTGAAAACTTTAAACAACTTCTTCTCAATAACCAAACTGCCCAGGGAGATGATATTTGGTCAGTAGCATGCTAGGGTGAAGGGCTACCAAGTTTGTTCAAATGAATGACCTTCA